TCCCCCCCCCCCCCTTTTTTTTTTTTTATTTCCCTCTCGAGGTCCTGGCCAGACTCGAGACAAAAGTTGACAAGCCGAAAACCACACCAGGTGTTTTTCGCAGTTTGAGATGTAAAGTTGTTTATTTAAGTGTAAAGCGGGGAACGTTTGCAGGGAAATTTGTAAGCTTCATCTATACAGTGGACGCACTGTATGGAGATTTCCCAATTGCTGGGAAGGGTTCTCCAAATCCTTCACTGTAAACGGGTTCTCCAGCATCTGCGGATCTGGATGATGGTAAGATAGGGCAACTGGTGATGTATCTTTCTTAATCACTATCGCTAACTCTATGTAGTAATGATTAGGTGCATCACCTTATTTTATGCTTGCTATAGTAGTTCGCTTATTATTTAGCTGCTTTACCTTATCTTGCTTTAATTTATTTTCACTATATTATTTTCCTCAATATTTTATCACTTTAAAAATAAGTTTACATCTTTGATTTGGTGCCTGTGTCCTTTGTGCTAAGCCCATCATTTGGCAGAACAAATATAAACTTATTATAGCTGATTTGAAGTAGTTGTGGGTTTAGATGCCTGTGAACAATGTAGATGTTCCATAAATTATAAACTAGAAATACCATTATTGCTTCTGCAAATTCTGTCTAGAAACACAATAGTGGGTGATTATTCAGTTGAACAAGTATTTCAGGGTTAAACTTTTGCGTCTCCCTTCAAAATTATAATTGTTTAGTCACTTATACTATGAATATCTGCCCCCTTTTCACTATGCAATAAGTGGAAGAGATAATTTCATTAAGGGTAGCATCTGATAATTTTTCGAGGCTTTGAAATTAGCACTTATCCTATAGTTCTTCTGTCCACTACATGAAAATGCTAGAAGAATCCACTGCAGGGATGTTTTATTCTGAAACTGTATGATCTGTTTTGGTTTTGATTTCTTGTTTCTTTATTCTTTATATTCTAATTGTTGTCTTTGCTCTAATATTAATATGCTTTTGCATTGAGCTGGCATGGTTTTCTTCTCTGTAGCTGGAAGAAGCCACTAATTTAGCACAAATCTTGCAAAAAAAATTATTGCTTCATAAGGACCCGGCAATGTATTTTAAACTATTTCTCTTCTTCAGTACAGTTTGAGTCAGCTTCAGTTGATTGTGCTAGGGTATTTTCTATCCTTCATTAAAACAAAGGACAAAAAATATGCTTGGTAGGAGTACACTTCCACGTGATTAGCTTACCAATAGATACCTGTCCAAAACACCCAACTGCCTGAGCTATATAGAATCGAAATTCTGTTCTTGCCATAGGCTAGGAATAATTTCTACTGCAATTTTTTTATTTTATTTTTAGTCTTTTCTTTTTAAAAACTGTCAAAATATCCTTTGAGCTGACTTTGCTCATACTTTGTCTAGATAGCCTAGATTGCAAATTGCATATGTCAATGTGTATTATGTTTAAGATATTGTTTCAAATGCTACAATGCAATACACCCATCTATTAAATATCTGCAGGTTTCAGATGTGTTGTGCCTCATGCATTTCACATATCAGTGTCTTATTTTTCTATAGCTGTATGTTATGGCTTCATAATAACGCAGGCTTTTATGTTTCTCTAATTGGTGTTTATGGTTTGACTATTCCTAATTGCTGTAAACTTTTGCTGAAGAGTTTAGAACTAATTGAATTATTTTTGCTTTCTTTGATTTGGTGTTTAAAGTGATTGTTGGTGCTAAGGAATTCCAAGTAGAATGTGCAGATGAAGTGATAAGCCTGTTGGAAAGTGGCAACGCAGCCCGTCACACAGGCACGACGCAAATGAATGAGCACTCTAGTCGATCTCATGCCATTTTCACCATCACTATTTGTCAGAAACAGTCTGCAGAGTCTCAAAAAAATACTGATGCTGCACAGGATTCATCCTGGAAATCAGTCCAGATGATTGTTTCGAAGTTTCGTTTTGTGGATTTGGCAGGATCAGAGAGGGTGACAAAGACTGGTAATAGTGGTGAACGCTTCAAAGAATCAGTTCAGATCAATAGGGGTCTGTTGGCCTTGGGAAATGTCATCAGTGCCCTTGGAGACCCAAAAAGAAAAAGTGTACATGTTCCATACAGGGATGCTAAAATCACTCGTATTCTGAAAGACTCCCTTGGAGGAAATGCCAAGACCATCATGATAACGTGCATAAGTCCATCCTCATCAGACTTTGATGAATCTTTAAATTCCCTCAGATATGCCAACAGAGCCAAAAACATTAGAAACAAACCAGTTGTAAATTACAACCCTGATCAAGACCGGATTGGTGAAATGGAACTTGAAATAAGATTGCTTCGAGAAGCTTTGCAGAACCAGCAAGTCAGTAATCAGTGTTCACATGAATTAAATCAAGAAAGAACTCGTATCAGTTCACTTGAGGAGCAGCTCACCCGACTTCAAGTTCAATGTTTGAGTTACAGAAATTGTGTAGATGAAGTCTTCCCATTTCTGGTTGATTTGAATGATGATGTTAGCTTAAAAAGAAGTCAGCGGGACAGGTTGCAGAGCTGGATCACCATGGTACACAAAGTAAGGAAGGAAGCTCTCACCATGGAAGAAACTGACACAGGGACTGGGACCAGCCAAGAGACACATCACATCACAATTCTTCAGCTAAAGAAGGAACTGAAGAAATGCCAGGTATTTAATTATAAGTTGGTTATTCAAGTAGCTATATGAAGGAGAAGTCTGCTAAAACCTGAATTCACTTTCTAAAGATGTAAAACTGTTACACTTATCTGTACTTAATTTGACAATTTAATTTTAATTCACAATTTTGTATAATTTTGTTTGTCTAATCCCTGAGACATAGGTTTATTTTAATGGATGATTGTATATACAATCATCTTAATCATGATAGAGATAGGTAAAGTAATGTTATATTTTGGCTAGTCAGTTTCAAGATGGTTGTGTGAGGCTTAGCTGTTTTATCTGTTAGATTTTGTTTTTAACTATGCTACTGTGCTAGGTCTGGCTAGGATGGAGTTAATTTTCTTCATAGCAGCTTGTAGGGTGCTGTGTTTTAGATTTGTGACCAATACAACACTGATAACACACTAACATTTTAGGTTTTGCTGAATGGTTTGCACAGCATCGCACCTTCTCTGTTTCTGCCTCTGCCTCTGAGTTAATAGATTGGGAGGTGCACAAAAGGTTAGAGACATACACACACAACCAAGCAGATGACCCTAACTAACCAAAGAGATATTTCATGCCATATAACATCATGTTCAACAATTAAAAAGGTTTAAGGAGGTTAGCCACAATTTGCCTGGGAACTGGCTGAGCATGTCAGCCTTGGGAGGTGGTGAGTGATTGCCTTTGCCTAATTTGTTTTGTTTTCTTTTCTTTCTTCTCCCACTTCATCTTTACTTACTCAACAGTTTCTATCTCAACCCACAAGTTTTCTTCCTTTTACTCTTCCTTTGCTTTTCCCCCATCTCACTGGGGTTGGGGTGTGAGCAAACAGTTGTGTGTGCTTAGCTGCCTATTGAGGTTGACTCACAACAGTCCTTTTTGGTGCCCAACATGGGGCTCAAGGCCTTTGAGATAATAACAGATTTTATTAGAGTGTTGTTGTGGTTTTGTGGTACTTACAGGAGCCACCACTGCAGCCCCTCCCTTGCTGCCAGCAGAGCTGGAGTCCAGGGAAACCTTTAGCAGCTACTTACAGGAGCCATTACTGTGCCCCCTCCCTGCTACCAGACAAACCCACCACACAAAAGCACAACAAGTGTCCTGGATTAAACTTCTAGCAGTTACACCTGTTTAGTTAAGTTGTTATTTGAGTGGCTGTTGCAGGTCACGATGCTGGCGTATTTACTTTGGGTGATGACTTCTGTGTTTCCTTGAATATTCCGATCCTTAATTCCTTTCTAGCTGTACAACAGACTCCAAGAATCATTAATGACTGTTCTGTTTAGTGTGTTGTTTGTTGTTTTGTTTTCCTTTGCTTGGGAGAGCTATGATTAAATCACTGGCCTCCAGCCTAATTTTATATCACTGGTGTTCCAGTACTCCGAGAACCATCTCATGGACAGTACCAGCAACTATACCTTTCCCCTCTTCTCCTCTGAGAGACATTTTTTGTGGAGAGAGGAACGAATGGCACCTATCCATTCCTCTCCTCCAGGATAAGTTTTTGTAGCCTTCATGTGGCTTCTCAGTTCCTTCAATATCCTCATGTAATCAGACTGTTCATTCTGGTGTGTGTTGTGATTCTGATTTTGATTCTTGTTCATAGGGTTAAACAACTAATTAGGGATGCCAAAGAGAAACTTGCTCTAAGGCAATTGATCCCTCGGGTGGCAGGGTGTGTGGGAGGAGTTGGGCAAGTGCCTAGGGCTTGGGATTTCATGCCTGAACAGGCTTGTAAACCCATCAAAATAATACACCATTTGAAAGGAGTTAGGTGAAACATAGTGACTTCTAAAGCTGTCTTGGGACCTGGCCCATGCCTATCAAGCCACTGTCCAATGCCCTCAGAGATGCAAGAGGGTCTCCTGATCTAAGAGCCCACAAATGGGCACTGAGCAGGTCTCTTGCTCTGAGGTCACACAAAGAGACACTAAACTAGAGAGCAAACCCTCAACTGTAACAGTTGCTCCTGTAGTCAAGAAGAAACAGTGGAAGCAGAGGTCAACTCAGTTAGTAAGAGAAGAAGCAGCTCCTCCTGAGAGGTAGAGAGAGGAAGAATCAGAAGAGGCAGCCTATTCTGCAGCAGGACAGGGGAGGAAAGAGATAGAAATCACAAGAGGCAGAAACTACCCAGTCCTTATCCATGACCAAGCTGCAAGATAGGTGGAAAAATTTCATCTGTCAGTGAGATGAGTGAATTGCTGGCTGGTGCTCTAGTGCTGGGATAGTGAGGCTAATAGTCTGGAACTAGAGGGTAGGGAAGCACAGAAGCTGGGATTCATTACTAGGGACTGTGGGATTGACAAAGCGATCAGAAGAGGGGCAGCCACTCACAGCCTCCACAAGTGTCACTTATTGAGCATGGAGACAAGGTACCTTCTTAAGGAAGATATTGTAACCCAGTGAGGCAAGTGGACTACTTGTCTGGTTATCTACTGAGTGAATTAGCAGTGGTGGAGGTGGTCTGCCATGTACATGGACAATAATTAGGCCCCCAAAGATCTGAATGACATACATACTGCGAGGCAGAAGCCTGTACAGAGCACAAAATGTGACCGCAATATCACAATGCTGGACTGGGCTGACATTGAGGCACCAGCTTTGTGTAGACTGGTCTGCCAGCTCTGGCAATTCAAAACGAATCTCTGTTCCCCCTCTCTGCTATGGGCCTGCATGTCAGCCGTGGAAAGACTGTTCCACACGGTCTGTCAACTCAAATAAATTGTGAATAATCTCTCTCCCTCTTTGCCCCTGCAGGCCACCATCTCAGCTACCATGAGTTAGCTTTTCTCTGATCAAAGGATAGGGAACAATGGGCACACACCACGTGCTACTGTGTGCTTCTGCTTGTGTGACTGTGGGGAGGATGTGAGGAAGTGGGACAGTGCACCTACCTTGGACCTGGAAATCTGTGCACATGAATTGGAGGAAAAAAGCAGTGGTTAAAAAGGGTGCTTCCAGGAAGATTTCTGCTCTGGTTGCTGTTGAGCAGTTCCCAAGATGCAGTAGGTGTGCTGAAGACCTCTCTCCTCTTTCTGGTGCTGATCCAATGGGCTTATATCCATGTGGGTTTGAACCCTACACCTTCTACCATGGAAGGACCATGCAAGTCTGTAGTAGGATCACACCTGTGAATAGTCCTTGTATCATAGCCTGGGAAGCAGAGAGAGACGTGGGCTCCTTTCATGATGTAAAGACTTCTGATTTGCAATTACAGGAGTCAGGTAATGAATGCTCTGACTGGGAATAGGGGGCCTTCCCTCGTGCCAAGTGGAGGAAAGGGACAATAGGATTTACTTTGGTTTTGGTGGACACCAGTCAGGATCCAAGAGGGCAGAACACATTTGGTTTTCTGGAGTGAGAGGGGGATCTCAATTGTTGTCTGTTAGAAGCTGAGGTGAGCCTAACAGGAAATATGTGGCAGAAGCATCCTATTGTTACCAGTCCAGAGGCCCCATATATCCTTGCCATTGACGCTCCCAAAAGAGGATACTTCAGGGATCAATACTGGCATCAATATTGTCCCAACTGAGACTCCTTTGTTCCCATCCAGGAGTTGATTTGTTGACTCAAGAGCCACTAAGTGATTAGAAAGACTCACTTTCCTTTTAATAGTCCCATATGGCCAGTGTGGAAGTCCAATAGAAGTGGAAGTTTACAGTGGACCATTGTGGTCTGAAAGAAGTCACACCACGGTTAGCTGCTGCTGTACTGGACATGCTAGAACTCCAGTATGAACTGGAGTCAAAGGCAGCCAAGCGATATGCCACAACCAATACTGAAAATGCATTTTCTCAATCCCTTTTTCAGCAGAGTGCAGGCCACAGTTAGGTTTCATGTGGAAGGATGCCCAGTCTGGAACTGACTGCCACAAGAGGTGGAAGGACAGCCCTACCATTTGCCATGAGCTGACTCAGAATGCACTGGAACAGGACAAAGCCTCAGAAAGCTTGCAATGTCTTGATGACATCACTGTGTGGGGCAACACAGCTGAGGAAGTATTTGAGAAAGGGAAAAGAAAATCCAGATTCTTCTGAAAGCTGGTCTTGCCATTAAACAAAACAAAGTCAAAGGACCTTTACAAGAAGTCTAATTTTTGGGAATAAAATGACAAGATGGGCATCACCACATCCTAGCAGATGTGATCAATAAGATAACAGCCATGTCCCCAGGAGTTAATAAAAAGAAAACCCAGGCATTCCTAGACATTGTGGGATTCTAGAGAATGTATATTCCAGGTTACAGTGAACTTGTAAGTTCTCTCTGTCGAGTGACCTGAAAGAACTATTTCAGCTGTATCCCCAAGCAGCAACAAGCACTTGAACAGATCAGTCAGGAAATTGTTGCATGGTAGCCCTAGGGCGAGTCCAGATGGGACCAAATATGAGAACGCTTCCACCAGGGAGCATGACCTCAGCTGGAGCCTCTGGCAGAGACACCTGGAGAGACCTCTAGAGTTTTGGAGCTCTGGATATAGAGCATCCAAGGGCTACTACACCCCAACTGAAAAGAAGATACTAGCAGCATATGAAGGTGTGTGAGCCGACACAGGCAGGCCACAGGAACAACCACAAACCATGAGTGAAATGCAAAGAGTAGATTTATTTGCATTACCTCGCAAACCAGGGGAAAACTCTGCAGCAGTACTCAGGCAGGCTCATGCGTACAGAGAGGTGAGGGCGGGGTGGGGGGGGCTGGCAAGACCAGCAGAGCTCAGTCCTTGCGAGAGAAGAGTCTCTCCGTGCCACCTGGTGAACTGAGGCCACTCTGCAACCGCACTCAGTCTGGCACACACATGCGGTGGAACAGGACCAGCAGAGCTTCGTCCTTGCAAGAGAGCAGAAAAGAAAGAATGCTCGAGTCTGCTGCTTTTGCCTGTACTTCAAGGATTTCTTGCAGGCGATGTTCACTACTGCGTTTTGATGTTTCTCACATCAGGCCAGGCACAGGCCTATGTTATCTGAGCACAGAGCACACAAGGTGAAGAAAACAATTAGCATGAT